CACTTTCAAGTAATGGCGGTAGGTAATGGGGTCCCCACGCCTCATTTTTAGTAAATATATATGGATAAATTACACTTTTAGCCCCCCTCCTAATTTTTTATTAATCTATTATAGTATTATGTATATATTAAATGAACTCGAAAGTTACACTTTTCATTCCTAAGTTATTAAGCAATTGTAGAATTAGTCCTTAATTAATTGTTGATTGTGCTTTTGGCCTTAAGCTATAATTGACGTCACAAATTTCGTCATTTTAATAACAGGTTGTGGTCACTCTTCGTCTCTAAGCTATACTAATATTGCAAATTTAATTTCGTTCCTAATGTTTTGTTAGTAAAGGGACGAAATTTGCAACATCACGGAGTACATTTTAAGGACAAAAAGTGAACACGACTAATAATTAGAGATGAATTCTACAATGACCATATAACTTGGGGATGAAAAGTGCAATTTTTACTATTTTTTACTATTGTATATATTTTGTGTAACGTGAAAAATTCTAAAGTAATGTTTGACAATCTTAACGAACGTACTCATATCAGAGCCGTCCCTGGGCATGACTGCCCAGGGCACTTGCATAGGGCCTCCAAAATTTGGGGGCCCCAAGTAGAGAACATGTATATACATATACTATACAGCAGGCAGTGCTGTATAGTATGTGTATATATTAATATTTTATTTTCTTTTTTAAAACAATTGGCCCCCAAATTGTTAAAAAAAAAAAAATTATATACTTATATACATATATAATATATTATATGAGTTATTTATATTGGTCATGTTTGGTAAGATAGTTAGCTTATCTATTAATTTTGGCTTATTTGATTATTTTTAACTATTTGACATGGTTAAAAAATTAATATAAGTGTTTGGTTAATCAGTTTTCTGTAATTCCAAAAAGCTAAAATTCAAAAAGATGCTCAAAGCAATTTTTTCAATTAGCTTTTTGAGAAAAATAAATTATACCAAACAGCTATCAGTTAATTTACCAAATATTTTTCTACAATCAACTAATGTTATCAATTAGTCTACCTTCTAACCCATTCAGCTATCAGCTAACATCCATTTACCAAATAGGCCATCATTTTTTTTTACAATTGGGCCCCAAATTTGGGGGCATAATTATAAAAAAAAAATAATAAAATTATATACTTATATACATATATATTATATGAGGATTGTCAACCCGGTTACCATTCCAAATGGATGTTCATAGGTTTGAACCTCGGTGGTGGGGGCTTAGATTCTTTGATTTTCTAGAAGTGGTCTGAGTGGAGGTCGTCGGCCAGTAGTATACTTACTGTATACAAGTTCCGAATTTCAAAGACTGAAGTTCTTCATTAAGTAGTTTAATCTGGGTCTGGAAGAGTGGTTCAAGGTGTACAAAAAAAACTCTTGGATGTAAATTGTAGAGCATTTTATACTTGTACTTGTAGTCACAGTCTTAACTTGACTTTGAGTGCATGATATTGCAAATAGTTGTGGCAAAACAAGGGATTCCTTTAGAGTAGTGCAACGTATTTATACAATTGAACAACTATTATTTATATTTATTTATATATATGAAATACTTGAAAAGGGGCCCAAATTACGATATTGTACAGGACCTCCATTTTTATTGAAACGGCCCTGACTCATATAATTATATATTTAATATATTATTGCACATAGTAGTATAATTAAAAATAATTATAAATAATAATTGGCACAATCATGTATACTATATATATAATGATAGTGTATGGTTGATATTAATATCGACTAAGATGATAAATTTCCTCTGAACCCAGATTTTTTGGCTCTACCCCTGCATGAGTTTATCCATTGTTGAGAACATGTCGCCATGTCGGTGATAATTAAGATGGGCATATAGGGTTTTCTTTAATTTCTTCTATCGTCTTGGACGGGTTTTATGCATGTTGGCTACTGGTTTTGGCAATACAACGTTGTCGGCCGGGATTGTAAACAGCTAAGAGTCACTGTACTACGTCAGGGTTCAGTACATTGGCATTATTGACTACGGATCGATGGATAATATGATGTTTGTTTAATACGGATTCCGGCGAAAAGTCGCCGTCTTCTCCACGTGCATTGGACCGGTTCAACTCAGGCCGGGTCATCGCCATTCCCATTGCGCTTCCATCTGGAGAATAATAATTGTATATATATATTCACCGTTTATTCTTCAACTTTCTAATTTGACTTGAAGAATTGTATACATTCAAATATCGTGGAAAATTCATTTTCTCTCTCTAGATAATCATTGAGGAATCATTTGAAAACAAAAACAAATAAATTTGTTGAATTAACTCGTAATCATTATTCAACCGTTTGTACGATAAATTTCTCATTAACAAAAAGGGATGCCACCCATTATTTCAAGGTATATTTTTACGTTCATTTTTGTGTGTATATAAATATAAAGAATAATTATCATTACAAAGTAAATTTTAAAAACAAAATGTTTCTATTTATTTTCATTAACCCACAGTATGCAACGGGCTAAAAAAATAAATTTAACCAAATTATTTATCAAATTTTTAAATAGTTATAATTTTCAACGGCTTGTATAGAAGAGATTAAAGTTGATAATATTACACATCAAATAAATATGATTCCAATCAACGTGATAGACAAGGACAGATTATTGAATTAAATTTGACTATTGGAATAGGCTACACTTAACAAATGTTAATATTATAATAATATCATTAAGAAAATAAGAGAATAATTATATTTAAAATAAAAAAAATAACACTTTATCCACTAAATCACACCCATATATATTATATAGACTTGGTCAATAAATTATTACCATACACAAATTCTTTGTTAATTATGTGTACCACTAACAAATTATGTTAATATTAATAATGCATTTTAAATTTTTAAATTATTAATTTGTTAGTTGTGGATTAAAATTGACACTTTACACATAATTAAAGAAAAAATTTAGTGTATAATAATAAATAATGAACAGAGTTTACAATATAAAAATAAATAATGGACCAAAATCACAATTTTCCCTTTAAAATAAAAAGGGAGAATATTTCAAATATTTGAAATCTCGAATCAAAACTGAACTAATAGTTAATTAAAGACATAAAATAAAATATCCCGAGAAATCAAATTAAAAGTGGTTTCTATATATTATGATTTTGCTTATAGTTTAGGTATGTTTTTTTTTCTCACTTTAATTTGTTGCTTTATATATATATTCAAATAAAGAACAATCCTGGTGGCAACTTATCTCAACTGTTCTAAAGGAAGGATCAAACCAAACTACTTTTATAATAAAACAAATGTTATCATCCACCCAAATATGCAATGCATGTGACCGCATCCAAAAAGAAAAAGGGTGAGTTGATTCTATTTAGCTTCATGGTTACGAATTGATCGGAAACACATCAATTCCGTCAACAAGACAGTGAAGCCATATACTGATAATTGATTTTATTTGTACATTTATATTAATTTTATAAAACTAAATTTACACTTTCAAGGCATTCAAAAAAAAAATTTACACTTCAAAATTAAAAGACTGAAAGTGTTGAAGCATTAATAAATTGATTCCTTCTAGAAAACAAAGAGATATATAACTAACACTTACAAAACGATCTAACAAAAGACTTACCCATGCAATAAAATAATTTGCATAAAACAAATGTTATCAACCACCTAAATTTGCAATGCATGTGAAGATCACATCCATAAGTTAAAAAGGTTGAGTTGATCCTATATAGCTTCATGGTTACGAATTGATCGGAAACACATCAATTCCGTCAACAAGACAGTGAAGCCGTGCATGATAATTGAACTGTTCATTTATATTAATTGTAAAGAAGTAAATTTACACTTCAAGAATCGAATTAAAAGATCGACTGATGGTGTTGAATCTAAATCATTGATGAAATGATTTCAATTCTTCATGAAAAAGAGAAAAAGTTAATTTGAAAGGGGAAGGAAAACTATACAAGAATACCATAAAATTCCAGAACTTTGGTGGTGATATATGATTAGAATCCGGCCATCATCACCGGAGAAGAAGGCAGGCGATATGCATAGGCATACGCAAAAGCCAAAAGAGAAGCATACATATTTTATGAGTGGGTGAGGAAAGGGTATCATTTTATAGAAGTTTTGGGCATAATAATCGGAAGATAAGGTGACATCTGTCACCCCCTAAAACTTTGCGTAATTCATACAATCACTGGCCTAGCTTTATTATTGGATACTTTTGTTTTATGCAATATCTTTTTTCTTTTTGAATCATATTTAAACACGTAATCTTGTATATTATAAGATTGGGAATGGCAAATCTACGAAGATTTGGTAAATCCAGTAGTTCAAACAGTCACAATTCTCCATTTTTGGCTTATTTATTGGATCAAAATCATGAGTGGAATGTGCCCCTCATTGAACAACATGCACTTTGTGGAACGGCACACTAACCTAATACTTAAAACCCAGTGTCCCGTTCTTATGTGGGCTAAATTCTCTATGATTGTAGTCGTTATCTTAACTCTATTCATGACGGTAGGATCCAGTTCACTAGTAAGGTTAACAACAAGATTGCCCATGAACTAGTTAAGACTGAGAAAGCCGTTTCGTTGTACGGGGAGTGGAATGATGTCCCACCCCGTTCTTGAATTGATTTCTTTATTGAATTAATATTTGTATCCCTTATTTTCAAAAAAAATTATGAATCGTATCTTATGAATTTGTCTTCATTCTTCAAGTGGTAAATCCAGTAAATATTGTTTTGAGATTCAATATCAAACTATATCTTTATGTCTTATGAAGAGGTAAATCAAGCAACACCAACCAGGCACCAAACTATACATTTCTATGCACAAAGAGCTTGACTCTATGAACCCACCCCAGATATATGAGGTAAATCAAACCCATCTTAAAAACAAGTTTAAAAGCTAATCCTGTAAGCAAGTTTGAAGTAAAACTTTTCATCCCTATACCAGTCCCATAAAGGCTAATCTTGTATATATATTGACATATTGTTACACTTGTTTATTTCTTCAAGAAAAACGTCATTTTACAATTGAATCATACACCATGAATCGACAGATTATTTTTTCTGCCAATTTTGTCATCGAGGCCTAAAGAAAAAAAAAAAAACAAAAACAAAAACAAAAAACTATACGAGGAAAAAGCAAGAAATTATCAAGACACATCTATGGTGTCCAAAAAAAAAGAAAAAGAACTTGAGATGACATGAGCCAGAATGTCCAAGTAGGCACCCATGTATATATATAGAGCTAGCCACGAGAGATAATACGTGTGTAAAGGAACTCGTTCCACGTGTCAGGAAGTCCAGGAAGGCACCAATGTATACAATCGGCATAGGTAGCAGGATCGGCCTGCTGTTCAAGAGTTAACATTTTACCCTGGCGAATGGTATGCACTGAAGTATGTGCATCTTTTCTATACTCAGAAAGCGTCGTAATGTTGAGGAAATAAACTGGGACTTTCATAGTTTCTGTTATATTTGATGCCACCACAAACAGTCTCTTGTCCGTACCGATATTTAGGTACATTGTTGTGTTCAGAATTGGGGTTGTCTCCTTGGCACATTTTATTCCATCCGGATTTTCCCAATCCAAACTCCTATTCCATCCAACAATTACCCATAAGTTATAAAACAAAATCACTTATACAATGTTACGAATTTTTCCGTAAATCAAAGATAATATATATATTGCAGAGCTATATAAACATACTTGATATGAAGGGGAGACATGCTCATGAAGAACACTTGAGTTTTATTTGGATCCACGTTTTCCTCCACCCACTTAGCCCAAGTAGACAACACCCTCCCATAAGCAATGGGCCTCGGGACCTCATCGTACTCGGTCGCGCCCTCGTCAAACGATCCACGGCTGCATAGTTTAGTCCAAACTCATAAGAACCGGTAAATTATTCTGTGGACTTAAAGTAGACCTGTGTCCAAAAATACATAATTTACATACTAAATGTTCACAAATACATATATACTTACAGAACTTTCATGGCAAAAGTGTTCATCCACCATATGTATGTATTGAAGATGAGATAGTCCACATCTTTCCAATTCTGACCATGCTTCATGATTGACTCGGGCATGATGATCCGGTTCAAGATGCTATGCATAGTCGGGTCATCCGAGTTCGACTCGACCAAAAATGGAGCCCAGTAGAATTCAATTGTAGCATTATAATTCTAAAAAAAAAAAATGTTAACATCAAGATTATTACAAATTAGACAACCCTTTCACCTTATTCATAAAGCTAAGGCATTGTTAGCAAAGGGTAGCCCACCTACCATTGGAAAGCTTAATTGTCATTAAAATACCCAATTTTACCAACATTAGGTGAACGATTAACTAATTAACTAATCCACCAATATTTGAAGCTACACATTATACAAATAAAGTAATTAGTAGGATTTGTCTTGATCTCTTGGACTAATCCCAACAAAGTTAACATTTTTAGTATTTTCTGTTTCATCTGTTTTGCATATGGCACCTGATATTTTCACTATTATAGAACTAATTTAGATTCAACATAGTTCATACTTATTATTTACCATCTTTGTTTGATTTACCATTTTTTTATGCTACAACATCATGTCTAATCATTTAAATCATTAGTCATTATGATAAGCAACAAATAAAGTAGAATTAGTGTCTTATTTAACAATGATTATGTTCAAGGAAAACGTAGAACTAAACTATTTGCAATATAAACTTTCAAAAAAAAAAACTATTTGCAATATAAAAGAATTAAAGTGTAAAAAGAGAAAGAAAATGACCTCGATTCTGAAGATAGACAAAGAGCCAGTCTTGGTCAAGCTTTTCCTCCCTGGAGGGGCAGCTGATTGGACCAAACAGACCATTGATTCCCATTGATTCCTATTCAGAGAATCTCCAACAAACATCAGCCTCTTGTTCCTCAATTTCTCCAGCAACAACTTTGGCTTGAACCTAAAACCAGATTTAGATTAAGGATTAATTAAGATTAAGGATATGATGGATTATTCCTCGGACACCAAACACTAATCCTCCCACCTAATGATAGACTGATAGTCACAAATTCGGTCGGGACAGGATGCGGGACCCGAGATCAGGAATTTTGCGTTTTGTGGGCCAAAGTTAAGGATAAAGAGATTAAGATTAAGGATTGAAGAATGGATGTAGTGAGCTTACTTGGGTAAAGAACAATCTCTGGGTTGCCATCTCCAGTTCTGATATGAAGAATCTTTTCTTCCATTTCTCATGCAGGTGACCTGAGCTGTAAGAAACTCGCATTCTGGTTCTTTGTATAGAGGGTGGGTGGCCTCGTCGTAAACCCATTCGCCGGTGAAGAGATCGCAATCTTCCGGCGGCACTTCAACGCCGCCGTCTTCTTCTTCTTCTTCTTGTTCTTTGTCGTCACCCACCAGTTCAATCTTTTTCTCTTCCTCCTGCAATGGCTCCTCCTCCTCGTTCTCCACCACAGTTCTTGAACTTCTCTGATCTCCAATTTCGTCTTCTTTCTTCGCCGCCGTGGCGTTTTCTTGGACCGGACTTTCTTGGAGTTCTTGATTATCGGCCGCCGCCTTGGGCCGAGAAAACGGGAACTCCGCAATGGACTTCACGTCCTCATTGTACATGAAACACCCAAAGATGAAAACAGAGAACACCACCACGAAGATGGAGAGGTTGCTGTTCTTCCGGCCGGACTTCATACTGTTCAGCAGCACTGATGAGAGGAGCGGTGGCGATGTTTTCCGGCCGCCGCGGAAAGGATGCATGAGAAGGAGGTGAAAGATGGGAAGAGAGGGCGAGGAGAGGTGTAGAAATATAGAGAAAGACGAGAGCTATGAGAGGCTAACATAGTTGCAGTTGGGGGATTGAATTGGTGTTTGTTTAATGGCGGATTTGGTGAAATGGGGTTTTCTGCAAGGAACTGATTTGGTTATGGGTGGCTGGAAGGTTATTGTCTTCCTCTTTGGTTGAGAGATTTTTTTTTTTTTTTTTAATAAGTTAGAAAAAGAATATATTTCTTGTTAATTTCTGATCTGTTTCAAACTAACTCCACATGTTCCAGAAACGAAAGATGGGTTGCAGAAAAGAGGGGAGGAGTAATATTAAAGCAAGCATTCTTGGCTTTGATTGTTTATCCTTTTGACTGCCCTTTAATTTTCATCTTTTTGATACACCCCTACCCACATATAGTTTATATATATATATATATATATATATATATATATATATATATATATATAGAGAGAGAGAGAGAGGGGTTAATGTTCGACTTCCTGAGTTAGATGAAACATTTTATAAATGCACAAAAGTTACTACAATGCACACAATTAGATTGTGTGCATTGATACGAGACAAATTGCACACAATAATCTAGTGTATGTGCATTCGTGTAGTAGCTTGTGTGAATGGGCTCATTTGATTATTACTATATATATATATATATATATATATATATATATATATATATATATATAGGGAAAATGACACTTTTTACCCCTGAGTTATATACTTATAGCACTTTTTTCCCTTCAATTATTTAGGTAAGCACATTAGCCCCCTCAATTATTCTAAAAGTGGTGCCTTTTCCCCCTAATATATTAAATTGACATTTATACCCTTAAAGTAAATATTTTATTTATTTTATTACTCCAACAAATTATTGCGTATACGTAGGGATGACCACGGTTCGGTTTGAATTGAACCGGATACTAAAGCAATCGAATTAATAGTTTACGGTTATAATTCAGATCTAGAACCCAATATTTAAATGTCAATTTATTAAAATTTTGTATCAAAAAAATTGAATCTTGAACCGTGAACCGGCGGTTCCGGATCTGATTCGCGATTTTGAACCGTCTTTATTTTAAAATTTTATTTTTTATTTTAAAATAGTCTAAATTCAACAATAAATGTATTTTATTTTTTCAGTTCGGAACATGAACCGTCCGTTCCGGTTCACAATTTTAATAAACTCTAAATATCGAATTTCAATTCTAAATTGTAATTGGAATGTTTCGATTTGGTTGCTATAGTTTTTTTTTAGTTTGAACAAATTATGGTCATAATTTGTTGAAAAAAAAATTAAATATTTAGTTTAAGGGTAAATATATCCATTTAACATTTCAGGGGGGAAAACAACCACTTCAACAATTTAGGGGAAAAAAATGCTATAGATATATAACTCAGAGAGAAAAACTGCCATTTTCCCTATATATATATATATATATATATATATATATATATATATATATATATATATATATATATATATTTCAAATAAAAATGAGTTTTTTTTTTTTTTTAGAAAGTAGTGAAAGCATATAAAATTATAGAGTACATCTATTGGTATATAAAATTCACCTAAAGCTACAAAGTGTATCAGAATATATGTATAAGAGTACTCAAGACAATCACACTTTTATATCATCGGATACACTTTATATTTTTGCATGGTGTCAAGACCTTGTGGTCTAATGACATCCGAGTTGTACTCCCATATGAAAGGGAGTGGGTTCGAGTATCAGTGCTTCAGTTGGTTGAGAAAATAGTTTGGGTTCGAGTATCAGTGCTTCAGTTGGTTGAGAAAATAGTTTATGAACAGATACTACACTGTAATAAAGTCATGAATGGATACTACACTGTAATAAAGTCAGTAGCATTCAAAAAATATATATTTTTGCATGGTAAACTTTTAGTGTTTAAAAATTTATAATATTTACTAAATTAATTACCATCATATATTTTCCATGCTTTAGAGACATTTATCGTATTTTTTTTATAGTATTGTTTTTATAGAAAGCAGTGAAAACATATAAAATTATAAAGTACATCTATGATATATAAAAGACATTTGGTTAAGATCTACAACTCACCTAAAGCTACAAAGTGTATCAGAATATATGTATAAGAATATGTACTCAAGACAATTAACTTTTATATAATGGGATACACTTTATATTTTTGCACAGTAAACTCTTAGTGTTTAAAATTTTATAATATTTATTAAATTAATTGCCACCATATTTTTTCCAGGCTTTAGATATATTTATTCTCTATTGACAACTTACATTACTTCACATTTTTTTTACATAAAGTGTTGTTCTCACCTAATTAATTATATATATATATATATATATATATATATATATATATATATAGGATTGAAAGTTGGTAAGCAAATTACTATGCACTATATATCATCTCAAAGAGCTCTCACCATGCATGTGCACATGCATATTTTCTTACCCTCAAGATATTCTCAAGCATTTCACTTGTCAAAAATGTATCTTATGTTTTGAAAGGGCTGGTCAAGCGGATGGAACATGACCTATGTACCTAAACGTTACGAGTTTAATTCTTGCGAAGTTTATCTTATGTACTATAATTTACGTTAGGCAGTGATAATGAATTTTCGTTATCATTTAATTATTACTATAATTTAAATTTTATCATTTAATTACTAATAATTTATTTTTAATGAAGATGAATAATAGATCGCAATCATTAATATAATTACGAGACATGCCATTTCACATGGAGAATACAATTAATTAATATATATTTATTTAGGTATGTATATTCACTTTTTTTGTTTGGTTTAACTTTATAAATTAGTAGAGTTAGTTGGGGATTAGTTTATGGTATATAGGAAAGTCAATGCAATAGTTGTTTATATAGTACTAACATTTTGTTTCCTTTTTGTTATTTAAAAAAAATTTATTAACTGGAATTAGTTGATTAAAATGGTGCCAGTACACTAGTACAGATGACACCCCCTGATGATAAGGATATGGAATCAAAATAATATGAATATTTTATAAGGTCAAATTGTTTGGTGAGGTATTGGTTAGCTGATTCATAATACTTCTCTAAAGTATAGTTTTAATTAAACTTTTATTCGGATCGACATTATAAAATTTTATCATAAATAAATTCCAAACAAATGAATACTAGCATTTATTCAATCTAAATTAAAATTGATTTTGAATATGTGTTTTAATTAGAGAGATTTGAAATGATTTTCTAGAAATTTAATGATCCAAGGTATATTAGGGATTGTCAGTTTCACTACTTGATGGATGGAGGCTATTATAGATTTATTTCAGTGTAATCAGGTATGCAATGTTAAGCATATTCAAGCTAATATGTGTGCAGATTGGGGCGACCGGACGAGGAGGAAAATTCACATCCATTATTCGAGAGTGTATACGGATAAATCCAAGCAAACCACACAAGATCAGATATGTGAATTGCATTAAGAAGATCTTGTACAACAGACTCGATCAAGAAAATATTGCAAGAATAAAACTTATAAACACTACTAGAAAAATCACGAATCACGACGGAACGTAATCCGTTGTCAATTCGCGATGGTTTTTGCTACGAAACGTGTTTTGTCACGATTTTGCTTCGGAAATGGTGACGGAATTCAGTTCCGTAGCGATTTTTGGCGCAAAGTGATAAAAAAAAAACCCGGGAAAATTTGGTGCCCACATTTTGGTGACGGATTTTGCGACAAAATTAAGTTCTGTCACCACAACCGCGACGAAAAAGGCAACGACCGATGGTTCCATCGTGATTTTGTGACAGAATCGACGACGAAAATAAATTCCGTCGCGATATTTAGTGCAAAGTGAAAATATTCCAATGTAATCTTTACACCAAGGATTTAACGATATGATAGAAGTTGACAACGGAATACCCGTCGCGAATTATTTAACTCTTTGGGTGGGTGGGGTGGGGGGTAACATTGTCATGTTTTCAACAAGCATTCTAGATTTCTAGGGGTGCCAATAATTAGGTAATTTAATTAATTATATGACTAACATAATTCATCAATTTACTCTCAACTCCCAAACCAAACACACTGATAAAATGGATCTTTCTACCAACAACACCCAACCCCCCCCCCCCCCCCTCCCCCTACCTCAGACATCATTAAGGTTTCTTAATAATGATTAAGGTTAGGGTCAAGGTAGAACAAAAATTGGGATGGGGAATTATGGTTAGCTTTATGTTTCAGAGAAGTAAAGGCTACGGAAGCTTTTTATTCAATTTATGGGGAGAAAAAGAAGTCTGTACACCAACAGAAAAATCTGTTGGATGACAGTTACATCTCTTTTTTTACAAGTCAAGAATATACAAGTACTCAAAGAGTATAGATACAGTAATATATATATATATATATATATATATATATATATATATATCAGTTCCAACTACTATTCCTATGCTGCACTAGATTGTTGGGTACCAAGTACTATTGTATCGACTAACAACATTCACAATAATTTTTATTAATCAAAGGGAGTATCACGACTACTATTTTACTTTCCCCGAAAGGAGTGAGTAAAACATAATTCTCGTATCAAAAGATCACAAGTAAATTTTATTCTTATCAGATCAACACTCTCTCGGTCAAGCTCATCGCATAAAGTCTTTTTAGTGTTAGTTGTTACACAGAAGAAGTATAATTTACTCAATACACATTTTGATACAAACATTATTTAATTATTACAAGATTATATTCTCTCGTAACCCTAACATCAATCGATAACTAATTATACAATGAAAGAATCCCTCGTAAGTCGTAACCTAAAAATCAATAGACAATTCATTATACAATACAATGAAAGAAAAACAAGAAACTGCTTAACAAACCAACATTGGTTAAAACATGAGTCATAAAATGTTTGACGTTGTAGATCGCGAATACTACCTAGTAGATCTGAAATTAGATATATTGTTTTGACTTTTGAAGTTGGAAGAATAATCCATAGTTGTATAAACCTCACTTATTGAATATTCAATTTAAATACGATAAATATTTAATTAAAATTTTTTGTGTATTAATATTTAATATTTAATTTAAACTCAACTAGGCCACCATCAATCCATCATTAATATTTACATAATTCGAACTTGGTCAACCAAGACGAATTCATGCTCATATTATAATTTGTTATTATGCAAGATCGTGTTCAAGAGTTTTAATTTTAGTCTTTAAAAGTTAAAATGCTAAGCAAAATGAAAAAAAAAATAAAAAAAAAATACTTTTTCATAGGTGAGCCCCACTTGATAACTTGTAAAATTATTGTGGACCAGGGTTCATTTTACACGGTT